TAGCAAAATGCGCACCTTGCAAGCAGCAGTGATTTCCTGTTAAAAGTGATTGCTGCGTACAGCTCTGCTTCCACTGTGGCAGAGCACAGGAGTGTTTAACCAAACATTGCACAGCCCACCTTTATCTGTGTTCAAGGTTTTGCAGAAAGAGTGACTGAAGGTGTTTTTGTTATGGACAGTTTTGTGTTTATGCTCTTGACATTCCTGAAAACAGTCTCGGAACATCAGTTTGGGAACACTTACTATATTTTAAGTGAATATATGCAGTAAGGAGCCATGGCAAGCACTTTATCATGCAGCCTGGTCTCCTATCTCACATGTGGAATTTGGACATTGCTTTATGATTCCAAAGGACTTGCTCCCTCAACTTCCCCAGGTGTCTTAAAAACAAGAGACATGAGCCTCTGGGAAGCACCCATTATTTCAGTTAGATCTTTGCTTTCTCGTGCCTGTGAACAAAAAAGAAGGGTCAGTTCTCAATGTCTTCCCTTCCTTCTCTGCGGTCTTGCACCAGAGGGAGAGTAGGTGTTAGATTTTTCCCACAGGGTCAAACTTGGGAAAACTCTTGCTTCAGACTGATGTTCTGAGACATTTGGAGGCTGGGGGGAGTCATCTGATTGCCTTCAATGCCTATTGTATTTTAGGTGGTTAAATGTCTTTCTGTCATCTCTGCTTAGCTGTTCACGCTGCCTTTTAGTATTTATATCTAATGTGTTTCTCCTGCTTCTTCAAACAGCTGAAGTGCTAAGAGCATAGGCATTCACAATGAGCTTCACGTTTTCTGTACTGTCCAGGTGCGTAAGCCCTATTAAAGTGCAGTTACCACTTCCCACATTTCTGTCTCCCACCCTCACCTTCCACAAAGTGAAGTTTTTAGTCATGCTTCTGCCACACCAAGCCCTCAGGTCAGAACTGCTACTCCTGACATAGCAGTTGGACTTGACCACTGACCTGCCTCACTTGCCCTGCTGTTGGCTGGCAAATAAGGTAAGCAGAAACTGGAGGCTGAGGAAGAGCAATTTTCCAACCAAAGCTTTAAATGGAGTAGAGTGAATGAAGAATAGCAAATCTGTGGGAGGAGAAGCATCAGCTGGAAAGGAATGGTGACTGGTTCTGCAATCATTGTCCCTGTGATGTATGCCACTGCATGACACCCCTGAGGAGCAGTGGGAGCCATACCATGACTCGCTGTGACCTACTCATGTTTTTCCATTTGCCTGCTTCCAAAAGCCTGCAGAGCGGGTCTTCTTTCAGAAATTTAGATCAACATGGACCTGCTGCAGGCAACTTCTAGCTTTTCTGTTGTACCAGCTTAATCTTGCAGCAGTGGTCTCCATCCAGACATGTGCTGAAGTACTGCCTGGGCATTTGGAGGAGTTTGCTGATCCCTTCTACAGCTATGCTGAGCAATTGGTGGCCCATCTTGAGCTCCAGAATTGGACTGTGCGTGTTTCCTTCCAGGAAGATGAAAATATCAGTGTTGGGTGTCTTAAGTGTTTGTTAACACCTGGAAACTACTGAGTGTTTTTCTAACTCTTCTGCTTATAGAGTTGTGCAATGAATATATTTGTTGTGATGCTCTCCAGCTTTTCAGCCCCCAGTGCAAGTGTTTGTGGTTTTAACCTAGTACATGGGGAGGTAGGGTAGGGGTTTATGATGCTGGTGGCAGCTAATTTCTTAGTAGATATTCCCCTGTATAAGCTCCTGCCCTTCCCCTCTGCCTCTTCATATTTGCTCCCCTTTGTCTCACCTCTGTTGTCTTCTTGTATAATAAACTCTAATTGAGACTTTTTTGTTCTTTTCTCCACAAGACTCTGTACTAAACCTGTGCCCTGTGCTTCCTGCTGAACAGTGCTGCATCAGGCTTGACTCTGGTGTCTGAAGGCTTGGTTAACACCTCTCCCAGGAGTATGGGTGATGGTACTCCTACCACTCTGCAGGTGCCTTGGGGAGCAATATTATCATCTTTTGGGCATATTGTGTCTGCACAGCCTGGCCCGCAGCACCGCTTATCTTTTCCTGAAGGTCTGAGGAGTCAAGGAGAGGGCAGAAGCTTACACAGGAATCTGGGAAAGTTGGCAAGAACATAGCAAAGACCCTGAGGCTCCTCATGAGTGAATGGGAGGCTCTGCTGCTTAGGCAGCTGTGCTGTGCTTGTGAAGTATCTGTCTCTCCTCTGCCTGCAAAAGGAGAGTCACTCGCTGGTGCTGGGGGCTGCCTGGCCTCCTGCGCTGTGATGGGGCAGTTGCATATTAATATCTATATTGATTCTTCCCAGACACCTCTGGTGAGCTTTTTATAACTGCTGCCCTTTCTTCAGGTGTTTAGGGCTGTCCTGTGCATCCTCCATGTGTTCTTCCTGAAGTTGCTGAACATGTTAAGGGAGTACTTGTTTTGCTTACAGTCATTCAACCTGCCTAACAGCTTGCTCTGCTCATTTGTGGGACAGAAGAGATGTTTTGGCCTCTTAATTCCAGTGGGAATGCAGAGCAGGAGCTCACGCTAGCATGATTCCCCCTTCTGCTGTTACATTTCAGTGGCTGCTCCAGCTAGGATGTGCTGGGAGCCGACAGGGAGTTAGGACAAATTGCAGTGGATGTTCTTGAGGGATATGGGGCACACTAGTGTAAACAATTTCCCGCATGCAAGTGCAGGAACCAGGAATATTGACTGTCCTGTTCATATCTTGTGCAGGTATGTTCATGTAGGAGGACCCCACAACATGTTGCTGAGACTGGATCCTGGTGGTGGTGGTGTGCTGCCGCAGCTCTTCCAGGAGGTAAGAGCTCCTTCATACGTACTTAGGAAGCAAGGAGTCTTGCACATGCAAAGCCTTCATTAATGAGTACCTGACTGACAGAGAGTGAGCTGGGCTTCTTCATTCCTTGTCCCACCTCCAGCCTTCTGGGCTGCTCCACATCCTGTTAAAGCCAGGTATCATATTAGGATATTCTCATCCCACATCCCTCTCTTCACGCCCTCTTCCTCTGGTGACTAGACCCATTGATGTTACAATGCCCATTCTACTTCTGTATGTTTCCTTTGGAAGGAAAGAAGGAAGAGGTGTCAAAGTGGTTTTTTACATGTTCAGTACAGGGCAGCAGCTTAGGCAAGAGGCACGCTGTGGTCCTTCTCATGACATCTCTGAAGCAGCACCCTGAGCAGCTCAGAGCTGGACCTCAAAAGTGGCACTAGGGTGAGTCCATGGCCACATGTTGGCTTCCCTACATGACCTGTGTGGAAGGAAGAGCAGCAACTGGAAAGAACCGACATGCTGGGCACACCAATGAGCAGGGAGCTAGCGGTGGAGGTAGGGTTGTCTACTTTCCCTCTGCCAACACTGGCAGTTAGATCGTGTGGCCTGTAGCTGGCAACTGGTATCCAATGCCCCCCTTCAGCTGAGCGAGTGCAAAGCCCTCTCCTGATTTGGAAGTCTTAAACCATAACAAATTCGTATGCTGCTGCTGTGTTGAGAAGGATGATTCTGTAATGCTGTGGTCAGGAACCTTGAACAAAAATCTGAGAGACTTGACTGCACTGTTCTGTCTCGGAGTCCAGTGCTGACACAGACCTCTGGACAGTAACTAAAATTTGGACTTTTCTCCTCTAGCTGCACTGGCTGTTTATATCTGGCCAGTGAGTTCTGCACAGTGGAACACTGATATACAGATGCCTTCCAGAAATGCCTGTGAAATAAGAGTGTTTGAGCACCACAATGTTTTGTGGTGGAAGATGTGGATTTCAGTCTGCAATAAAGAGCAGGGGGAAGCAAATCTGGCTTCTCGTATTCCCAGGTGAGTGCTGTCAAAGAAATGTTCTATCATGAAGCAAGTTAGCACACTCCCTTCCCTTTCTGCTTGAAGAGGAAGCAGCAGGTACATTTATCTAAAGGCTAGGCAACGTGTTTGTGTTTGAGCTTTAAGAACATCTGTAGTGGGACAGAAGAATGAAGCATTGCCTAATGCTTGGATCCTGACAGAGCTATATCTCAGCTATACTCAGCCAGAGTATAGCAGCCTGGGGACATTGCCTTGAAAATGGGATTTGGTGTGTGTCTTTAGCCAGAGGGAATTTTCCCCTTGTGTTTCTCTGATGATTGCAGAAGGTGTGCAGGCAACACTTTCCAGATAAGATCCTTGCTTTTAGCTGGCAAAAACTGGCTGATGTGATTCCCACATCCTGTGGTGGCCAATCAGCCTGTGGAGTGCCAATTACAGACATTTATCTCTTTCCCAGACAGCAGGGGCAGGATACCTCTCATCTAATTTTAGATGTCTGCATGGTAAACCTCTGTCACTGAATGTCAGCCTTAGTGTTCCTACTCGGTGGAGGAGATCAGCACATTTCATCTGACCTGTTTCAGATGTCTGCTGCAGGGTGAGGTAATAACTGACTCCCCAGAAATCATTGCCTCTCCCCACCACCAACTGGAGAAGCCCAGCCTGACAAGCTGGGCTGGAGATGTTTACATCCTATGTGCTTTCATATGCTGAAGTCCATGAGAAATTACTGCAGGGAGAGTAGATCATTACCAAATACCAGCTGATGACAGTGGTAATCCCTTTACTTTATAGAATCAGCAGCACTTGTTCATCTGGCAGAAAACACATTTGGTGACTGTTTTAACATTCACATTCTTTTCAGTGGTGTAGGAAGGCAAAAAGTAGGGTGATGTCACCCTTCTTTTATGTTATCACCAAGGTGATGTTATCACCCTGGCAAAGCAGCTCCAGAAAAAGACCCATCATGTTATAGTTGCTTCTATTTGTTTTTTCCCCAAACTTCCTCCCATTGTGTTTGGCTGTTCACATCCCACTTTAAGTTAATGTTATTCTTTAGTTTCGTCCCATATCTGTTGTCACTGCTGGCTTTGTGCCTGACTGCTGCATTGCAGCAGAGTTCTTACATCTTCTGGCAAAAACTTGTATTCTTGCAGTTTGCACAGTCCTGGTAAGAGTTTGTTCTGACTTCATGGATCTAAAGGCTAGACAGATATCTAAACTAATCATCCCACTCCAGTTCATGGATAGTGATAATCCCTTGGGGACATGATTCATCCCAGTTGACTCGAAACTTGGTGTCTGAATGTGCTGGTTCACACAACGCAGGCTGTCTCTGCATTGACTGCAGCCCAGTCTGAGAGCAGACATTTAGCTTTTAGATGACTTAATTTAGGCTGTATGAATTTAATTCACAGGGGTTTTGTAACTTGTAGATAAAAGGCTGGCTGATTAGATCAACTATCCAGCCAGTTCTTCATTCTCTGGTTAGCCTCTATGGAGTTTAGTAGCTCGAGGTTAAGTGAGCTGTTTGGGGTAGGAGAGGTCCACACATTAGTCTGGGGACTCTAATGTGCCTCTTGTGCACAGGTTTTCATGTGCTGTATTCTGTTCTGGGTAGTGTGTTCCTAGCACAGCATTTTAAATCCTATATTAACATCTGCCTGTATTGTTTCTCAGAATAGCTTCATGATGCTTTTGGGAAGGTGAAGTTAACCATTCCCAGAATACACAGCATGTGGAAAGCATCATAATTCTCATAGCATCAGGTTCCTAAGTTTGAATGCTTCTTTCTTGAAGGATTTCCACAGAGATGCTAGAAAACCACATGAGCTATTGCTCTTGTCACCTGGGGTATCTAACAACATGAGCTTCACTTACTGTGATCCTGTGATATGAAAAAATATGTTGTTTTGGCTTCTCTGCCAGGTGCCAAGCAGAGCTTGGGCTAAGAAATGCTGAGGAGTGTTAGCTATGGCTTAGGGATGAGTAAGTTTCTTGGCCAAGTCTGATTACCCACTTGGGATATTTGTATTTCATTATAACTGACACTGAGAATCATGTTTGATTTGGAACAAATTTCAAGCAGGAACAAGTTTCAGCATCTGCATTTCCACTGTGAGCACAATGAGGGACAAAACAGGTTAGAGCCTGCTTGGCCAAGGGTGGGGACCTCTCAGTAGGGAAGGGGAGGGCAGCACATGAATCAGTTACAAGGAAAGGGAAGGAGTAGGTTGAGGAGCTGAACTTCCTCCCTTGCAAAAGGGATACTCTAAGTACCAAGTGTAAGGTGTGTGTCTGAGGAAGCCAAGGACTGAGCTGGGGAAAGCCAGCTCCTCCCACAGAGTGGGAGGCTGTACCTGGTAATTAACTCCCAAGCAGAGGAGCGGAGCTCATGCTGAGTCCTGAAGGAACCTGTTGGGAGGAGCTCAGGAGTGCAAGAGGGCCCGAAAGGACATGGAACCAGACAGGGGACTATTCCAGCTGGAGAGGCACTTCCTAGCAGCAACTGCTCCAGTCATGTTCAACTATCTAGCAGTAGAGGTGAGACCACAGTTCCACCGCAGCTATGGGGGGCAGCAAGGGGTGTCTGGGCCACTGAAGACCCGCCTGGAGCAGCTGAAGAAGCCATGGTGGAGGGAACCCACCCCACTGGTGCTCCAGCACAGTGAAACAGCCAGGCTTGCTATAGATGCTTTTCTTGAGCAGGGGGAACGTGGCTACCTGAATGCCATCACTGAGGAACAGGAGCTGCCTTTTCTTTCCACACTGGACATGGAATATATGAGCCATCAGAGAAATCAAAGCTTTCCAGATCCCAATGCAGTGAAAGACAAAGATGCTGACCCTGGTGATGTGGACAATGGAGACAGGTCCTCCCTCAACTCTGAACTAACATCTGGCACCTACTTTCCACTGATGTCTGATGTGCACCCTCCAGAGCTGGAGCTGGGCTGGCCAGGGATGCCCTTCCTCACAGTTTCTGGCCAGACTCAAGCCACTGTGATTTTCCAAAGAAACAAAGCCAACAGCATTAAGGATTTGCTCAGGTCTCTGATCAGCCGGGCACGGACGGTATGTATAGAGCTGTGTCCCTTGAGTGGGGTCTTGTGTCACAGCACCCATTTCCTGGTGGCTGGTCCCACAGCTGTACACCCCATGCTCCAAGCTGTTGCTGCTCTCTAGATGCCTGACATGATGTGACTACATTTTTCCTAGCAGATCTGTAACTGTTCCTGCTCCTTTCCTTTCTTGTAATTTTTTTATGCCTGGAATTTCATGCCGTACAGGCAGTGCCCTTTAAGGTACCTTGCACTGTATTTGTGGGCATGCAGAGCATGGTATCCAAGCCTGGAATGAATGAGTGTCAGGGTGTGCAGCATTAATGCTTAGCTGTCCTTAGCTGGCAAATGTGTACCAGCCAGCCCTTCTGCCCTCTGCCAAGGAGCTGGCATAGCCAGGGTTTTTCCTGACCCCTGGACAAGCAGGATAAGAGGATACCACAGGTGAGTTGTTGTGAGAGATCATAGGACCTGAGTTAATTTGTGGGACTGAAAGCCTGTGGTTTGAAGTAGAATACATCATCATATCTTCTAGACTTGATGTCTGTGCTCCTCTCTGAGGATGAGTAAGATCAGCCCGTTTTACCCCATTGCACAATTTCTGCTGGGTAGAGATTGCCAACCCTTGGATGCAATAAAAACTGGACAATTACAATATTTACCTACCAAGCACAATCGTGGGGTGAATTTACTCACTAAATTATGCTCCTTCTTTTTTCCTTTTACTTTGCCACTATACTCTGTACTAAAGCAGCATCTCAGAAAATTGTCTTTCGGACACATTTTCAGCTTTTATTGTCTTTGTCTTCTTGATGTTTCTTTTCATCTGTCCCATGTTAGTTTTCTTTTGTAGTATTTCATTTCAATAGCATGACGATACTGAGTAAGCTTTCAGTGCAAAGTTCACTTTTAACCAGTCAGCTTCTAGCCGATTTCTCTTATCAGTCCTGTAGCTTCTTATTTAGCTTTACAGTCACTCCTTACATTCATTGCTGCCTAGTGCAGAAAGAGGGAGATAAAGAATTGTTAAGCCTGGAGTTCAGGTGTGTCAAGAGCACAAGCAGTTTCCAGGCAGGCTGACCCAAAATGCTGTCGTCTTCTCTTCCATCACCATCTGCAGAGTTGAGCAAAGTTACACTGTCCCCAGCGAGTAAATGTGGGGCCATGCAGCAGCTCAAGTTGCTGTGCAGCATCGTAACATCATCAAAACCACAGAGCATTGAAATTTGGGTGTGAGATGAGGTAAAGGGGGATATCTTTTTTTGTTTGTCCCAAAGACTGTTTTGCCATGTAAGCAACTGCTCCATTGTAAGCAGCGATTTCTTAAAGCCTGAACTTCCATTGCACCTTATAGGCAAATACAGGAAGTTTTCTCCAGGAAGTAAGTGACAAAAATCTCTGTTTGTTCTTGCAGGCAGCTGAATTATGATACTTTAAATGATCTGGAAAGTCCTGTGACACTTACTGCATCCTTTTCAGCAATGAGGATTAAGACATAGTCATGGCAGAATGCACAAAGTAAATGGCTACTAAGACATGTCCCCTTGTCACTTAGCACGTGCCCCGGATCTCTGACAGTATTGTGATCCTTTAAACCACATGAAAAACATCTTGCTGCTTTCTCAGTCCACAGGAACTTCTCTATTGCTGCAGGGAGGTTGCCCAGGCAGTAGGTGCCTTAAAAGTATGTTTTGAGTTTTGCCTTTTTTTGCTTGGCTTGAAAAAGCACTAACAGCCCTTTGTGTTCAAGTTGGAGATTTTCACAGTGTTTTTCACTGTTGCATTATGTGTGAGAATGAGTTTTCACCCATCTTACTGGTTTATTACTGGTGTTTTACTGGTTTCTAGGTTACCAGCTCTGGCCAGTGCTTCCCATGATTAAGTTTATGATTGACAGCAGTTCCAGGTCATTCACAAGCCCAGTTACACATCTTTAAGTAGTTACTGAGTCATTTTGCCCATCAGACCATCCAAAAGGACGTTACCTATATGTCCTTTAATGACAAAAGTGCAACCAGAGGTTAAAACATCTTTTGCTTGAAGTTCCAGTAGCAGCTGTGCAGAGAACTCCTTGCTTTTTTGCTTTCCAACGTCAAGTATTTTCTCCACTAAACTTTTATGCTCTTGTTATATATCCCTCCGTTAGAACGTTTCTCCTGTGTGCTTACAGCTGACACGGAAGGGGGATATGGTGCTGGTGGGATGTAGGGAAGAAGTTGAGATCCCGGAATGTTTTACCTGGCTCCTGTAAACAGGAAGGTGTGCGTGTGTAAATGCTTGCTGTTTTCTCCTGTACAGTCATAGAGAACATCATCAGCTGACATATTTTGCAATACATATTTGTACTGACAAATCAGCAAAAAGGGCATTTGTTTTATTGGTGCCTTTTGCTGGTGCAATTTGTCTTTCTGCTTTGCTGTATTTAACCAGCTCTCTTTGAAGATGCATTTTGAGATTTGAGCTTTTCTCTTTGCAGACATTAAGAAGATGTAGCGCGGCCACACCTTAGCCTTCATTTGATAATACTATTACAATTTTAGTTTAGTTGCATGAGTTCCAGTCTGGTTCAAACTGTCCATGCTGCTTCTTTCACCCCTCTTGTACAACTCTGACACTGGCTGCACATCTCCATTTACATGCAGTGTTAGAAGGGTCCCTTTTGGCCCCCCAGAGAAGCAATGTATTGTTTCAAATGGCAATGCTAAAGTAATGACAAGCCACACTGCTATTGGCAAATACCAGTAAAACCAGCTGTGCTGGTTAGAAACCAGACAGGTGGCAGCCCCAGTGGGGTGCTGTAAGTGCTGTAATTCCCAAGGTGGTGACTGCAGTAATTGCTGAATTGTGAGTTTCCAGAAGTGGATTTAGAAATGCCATGGTTTAACCCTACAATGGCGAGGTGCGAATCTTCCAGAGCCTGTGGGGCAGCAGTGTCTTTGCCATGTCCTGACCCTCCATGGCTGTGCCGTGGGCTTGGAGGTCATGATTAGCATGGAGAGGAAGGAACTGGGATGCTCTGAGCCTTGCAGGTCCCACCACTGAAACTGAGGGGCTTGAGGCACTGGACATAAGTTGCTTAGATTTGTAAGGCCAGATTGACTTAAATGCCCAAGTCTTTTACATGTGAGACACAAGGTGACAGGAGCCTGAATTGTAGGTGGTATTTAGGTACCTCCTTCCACTGCTTTCCAAAGTTGTTGGAAATGATCTTCAAGGCTTTACACCTCGCTTTTATGACAGTATGTTATTAGGAGGCTTCATGGAGTAGACTTCCAAATTCTCCTTGCCCCAAAACTTCTTGGCTTGGGGGTTGAGCTGATGTGACTATAAAAACAGCCTGCTTTGTTTACCGAGAGGATGTGGTGATCTGAGTGGTCCTTATGCTTGTCTTGTTTAGAATGAGCAGCCCCATCATGGGTGTCAGCATCTCCACCATGTGAGGCTGAAGCAGGACGCAACCTCCCCTTTCTCCCTGCTGCAAACTGCAGTGCTCATGGGCTTGCCAGCCCACTTGCCTGGTGTTGGCTGTGGGTGCTTGCCAGCACCACCATGGGCAGCTCTACCCAAATCCCTCCTTGAGGAGGCCATGAATAGAGTGCAGCCTGCTGCCGAGTGAAGCCCTGCTCTGGCACACACGGGTCTATCTGCAGGGCTCCACCCAGCTTGCACAAGCTGGCGTCCTGCTGCCTGGGCGCGCGCTGATGCTGGAGCCACGCGGCTCCAGGAGGTGCAGATCTGCCTGCACCCAGCCCAGGGCACTGGGTGCCACCAGTGACTGTGCCACATGCTACCATGCACACCTACCGCCTACTCAGCCCTGTCCCTCACACAGCGTGTGCTGTAGACTGGCAGTGCTGGACTGGGGTAAGGAACAGCACTGAACCCTGCCAAAGCATCTGAGCACTGGCAGAGAAAAGCAGGGTGGTGTGGACCTTCTGTCTCTATTAGGTACAAGCAGTGCCTTGAGCACTGAGGACGAAGGAGCATCTTGACTCCATTATACTGACTTCCCAAGGCAAGTTTAAATTGTCTCCAGGCCAAGCCTGCCTCAGACCTAAGCCTGAGATGAACTGAAATATTGTGAGGCAAGCGTGGCCGAGAGGGACTTGCCCGAGGCCTTACACAAGGTTTGGGCTATAGTTTTTTCTTGGTGCTTCATCAAAGCACTACATCTTGGTGGCCCTTCAAAGTCATTTGGCTAAATTGCCTTTGGTCTTTGGTGGAAAGCCAGTGTGGAAAGATGTGGTGAAGTTCTGTTCTGCTTTCTGTTAGCTGTCAGCAGTACCTAATGCTGATAGCCCAGCAGCAACATTAATTTGGGAAGTTGGAGATACTTCTCAGTGCTTTTAGAGTTCTCCCAGAGCTGACACTCCTGTCCTTGCCAGATGGATGCATTTCAGGAGGGGAGAAGAGTTTGCGAGAGCCTCGTAAGACGTCCGGCAAGGAAACAGTAAGAGCTACATAAGAGGTGCCCTTTGGAGTCAGGCTCTGAAGCATGTGTCTCCCAGGGCCAGGGTGAGATGGTGGAGATGTGGTTTTGACCTGGACAGTAGGAGTGATTTTTAGTTCTTGATGACAGCTTTTGTCCCATGTGGATGCCTGGGATCACACCAGCCTCCAGGAAGGTTCTTGCCTCAACTCTCCTGCAGTGGGATGGGGCTGGAGATCTGCAAGATGCTGAGGACTAGTGACAGTGTGTAAGGCATCATTACAGAGATTGTCTCTGGGGACAAACTGGATAGAGCCAAGAAACCTTGTCCATCTGCAGAAAGGATAAGTCCCAAAGGGAGCAGGAAGCAACCTGTTGGCATGGCTGCCCTCCTCTGCCGTGGCTTGGTGCAGAGTCTCTCTATGTGTGTGCAGGCAGAGCAGGGCTGAGAGAAGCCAGCTTGCCAAGCGAGAGACTGGGCAGGAGAGCAAGGTGATCCCAATGGGGCCCTGCTCTGCCCATGGCAGTTGTCTCCTCTCAGCACTTAGGCTGTGGTTATGAGTCTGAAAAGAGGCAGTTCATTAATGAAAACAGAGTAGGAAAGCCATTGGGCAGTGGGTGATCTGGGGCCAGCATGCCGGTCTGGAGCAGAGACGTGAGCTTGTCCCCACACCCAAGGACAGAGACACTTGGAGTTCCTCTACTCTTCTGAAACTATTCCAGGTCAGACCCATTCACACATAAAAGTCAGCCTCACTGCTGTCCTCTGCAGTAGCTCTTTGAAGAGGAGCAGCTGAGCAGAAGTGGCAGAGGAAAGCTCATCTTACATGGCCTGTTCCATAGGGTGATTTGATCTATGGAGAATTGCATTCATGGCTGTGCTCTAACACAGGCAGAGGAAGTGTTTGAAAACAGGATTCCTACCTCCTCATGGGGTATGCGGTGAGCAGCAGAACAAACTCTGTCATGCATTTTGTGCTCCAGGTGCAGTGTAGGGCATGATCATTGAGTAGCAGGGCAAAAAGGCCATTGGATCTTCACTCCAAAACTGGGTGCTTTTTACACCATCTTTATTTGGGCATCCTCTATGAAACTCAAAACCAGTTATGTACACAACTTGCAAGTACTGAACAGTTACCTTATTAACTACCAAGCTATGGAAAAGACTGCGACTGAAGTACTTTGTCAGTAGTTCCATTACTTTTCGGCTTTTGAAATGCAGCTGACCTGTTGGTAAATCTTTCACTACTTTACCTTTCTCAGTCCCCCAGTGTGTTGCCTTTTTCCATGAGTTCTCAGTGTTAATTGTTAGTGGTTCAAGGTCTAAGTCACTGGATGGCTCTGCAAGTAACCTCAGGTGAAGTATGCCAGGTCTGGCAAATTGTCCAGCTCAGAAAGTGCCCTTCTGCCTGTGCCTTCCTTCTCCAAGATGTCCCCTGATTCCTGTCACTAATAGTAATGGCCAACATCTTTGAAGAAGGCCATGGCTTCCTTCAGTCTCATTCTTTAAAGGACTGGCACTTCTCTTTGATTTTTTTTCTTTCTTTTCAAAACCCCTCCCTTGGAGACCTTTTCTGGCAAATCTTCAGTTTCTGTGTTCTTTTAAATAACATTAGTGTTATTGTTTCTTCCTGCCGTTGAGTTTCATAACTATAGCTTGCATCCTGGGCTGTGTTAGTAGGAGTGCTGCCAGCGGGAGAGGGAAGGGATCTTTCCCACATGCATGATTCTACAGTTTTGTCTGTTTGCCCCTAGGACATAATCTTGGAACATGGACATGCACATACTTGATCAAAATACCTTCTCCCTTACCTGGCAGTGTGTCCTTCTTGAAGAAATACTTCTTTATGTGAATATGGTAGTCATCTGTGGAGTCACTCATACTGACTGAATAATGATTTTGGTCCGTCTCAGCTCTTCCATTCCTATGCTGTATTTCTGTGCTTAAGGCCATACATGCTTGTTGCATCAATGATACTCAGTCTGTGCACAGGCATTACCCTTTCAGCTATTTCTTTCTGTGAATGACAGATGAGACAAGAGGTAGCTGCATGAGGAATGTCTTCATAGTTATTAAGTGATTTTATCTGCCATGGTGGGGTGAGGGCTGTTAAACACAAAGATCCAGAAGCAGTCTCCAGTCATGTGGCCACAGATGCTCAGTAACTCGAGAGGTTCAAATACTTAATTCATAATTTAAAGCACAGTTCACTTGGGCATGAGATTTCAACAGCCTTTTACCTCTTTTCCCCTGGCTAGGTGATAGCAATTGTGATGGATCTGTTTACAGACATGGAAATACTGTGTGACCTGCTGGAGGCCTCAAGCAGACGGCATGTCCCTGTTTACCTGATCCTGGATGAAGAGTACTTGAAGCATTTTGTAGAAATGTGCAATAAGATGGCTCTTACTCAGGACAACTTCCCAGTAAGTTCTCATTTATCATACCCAGTGTGTGACTAAGTCTTGGAATCAATAAGACCCAGGTACCTTTCCTCAGCTGAAAAAAATCATGTTTTTAAAAACCTCATGTTAAGATGTGCTTTTAGGCTTTGCGTTTAGGCTCATGGGTTCATGAAGGATTTGTGAAGAGCCTGATTCCCCACTCAGTGGGGTGCCCATCATCAGTCATGGGTGGTGCCCAGAGCACACAAACAATAAAAATGAGTGTGTCAGTGCGACAAGCTCTCTTTGGGATCTTGCAGACTCAGAAATGCACCCCAGTGTCTTGCTGCTCCTCATACAGCCTTTCTGGCTACCACCTATCAAGGAAGTTGTTTTTTTGTTGTCACTTGTTAGTCATAGAATCCCAGACTGGTTTGGGTTGGAAGGGATCTGAAAGCTCACCCAGTTCTAACCCCTGCCACAGGCAGGGACACCTTCCACTAGAGCTGCTTGCTCCAAGCCCCTGTGTCCAACCTGGCCTTGAACACTGTCAGGGATGGGGCAGCCACAGCTTCTCTGGGCACCCTGTGCTAGTGCCTCTCCACGAGCTCATCTCGGTCTCCCCTCTGTCAGGTTAAAACCATTCCCCTTTGTCCTGTCTGTAAATGTTGTAAAATATTTTAGTTTTACAACATTCAAAATAGATGCAGACATTTAAAACATTTGTAAAATGTCTTAATTTGCCCTAATTTTTAACCTGTCTGCACAGAGATTAATTTAGAGATGCTTCCTTTTTCCCCCATGTTGGCAATGCTCTTTTCACCAGCCAGTCTCATTTTATCCTGCCTCTTCAAATGGCAGCTGTTAGGAAAAACTGGTTCATGTTGGTGCATGTATTCTTTCATAAACAGCTGCATCACTGAAGTCACCTGGTGGATCCAGAGAAATTCCAGTCTCTCCAAGATTTATTGTATTTGCTTCTCATCCAAGAGCCTGGCTGTTGTTTTTAATTAAAATTAGAGTGAGTTTACATCCATGGAGATGTCTCTTTGTTAGACCTGATGTCATGTCTTGTGCTTGAATGGCTAATGAGCACTTGCCTCCCCCATTGGGTGACTCAGGTCTCATTGTGAAGTGCCTCATAAGCTGATGCATCTCATATATGCTTGATACATACATACATTAACATACATGCTTGATATCCACATCTAAGTGGAATGAGTGTGTTTTATTCCTGGCCCTGACTTGTGACAGGATGTGATGGTAGATCTCCATTTGGAATAATTGGTGGCAATCTGTAGTTTAATGGGGAGTTTGGAGCAATGGCCCCTCCAGCATCTTACTTCTAAGAACATTCTGTGAGCCTGCTGGTGTCAAATCCTGGTGCTGAGCATCATCAAATCCCACAGTGGGAGCATTGTCAGCAGTCACAGCGGGAGACTTCACCGTCTTAACTGGGTTTGTTTTCAAGTGGCCATCTGCTGAACCTAAAACTACTGTCTGAATCAAGTGGGAGTGGTACCTGAGAGTCTGTCTTTCCTGCAAGACTGCCGGATTATCATATTGTTTGGACAATTCAGAGCCTGGATTGCCAAGAGGGCGAAAAGGATGGAATAAATAAGCCAGGTATCAGAAACTCACCCAGCCTTGGAAAGAACAGAGAAGAATAGAGGGAGGGAAGAAATACTGTGATGATAAATATGGATATAAATAATAGGGATTAAAAAAAAAGGATTAAAATCAAAACATAATATATAAGATATATTAAAATATTCATAAACTTTAAAAAAATTAAAGCATAAGAATTCTAATTTTAAAATACTTATACGTATAAAATAAGGATATCTCTTATTTGAAGTGGGTTTAACTACTTTGAGGAGGAGAGGAACGTCCTCCCAGTGAGTCTTCTCACTGGTCTCCCTGGAGTCTTCTCCAGGCTAAACAACTCTACTCTCTCAGCCTTTCCTCACAGGAGCTGTTTCCGGGAAGCCCACCTCCTGCCCACAGGGCCTCTTACGGGAAGAGGGAAGCCATCAGGAATGGAGTCACCTGCCACAGGGTGACTGCCTCCTGCTCCTCACCCCTGAGGCACAACTAGCACACCATGAGCCTCACGTGAGGCCAGACTGGGCGAGCCGGTCCCTGACCATGTACCTGCAGCCTGGGGAGCCCACACATGCTCAGCCTACCCTGGAGGGGGAGAAGGGGACACAGTGATGCCCAGGAGCAGCTCCTGGAGAGGTGGCAGGGAATGGGTCTGCACCCTGCAGGGAACATCTGTAGGCAAATCACAGTTATTCCTGCTTGTCTGTCTGCAGCACTGGCTGTTACAAGCTGCTGTGCCTGGCCCGACTGAAATCTGCTGCATGCTGGAGGGGACACTGTCACCTCCAGCAGGAGCACCCATGGGTAGCAACCACCTCTGCCAAGAGGCAAAACACCCCTATCAGCATGTGCTGCCTGTACCAACTGCCACAGGTCTGTCTTCTGCAGGGCTGATAACAGGCAGGGATGAGCTGCCCACAAAGAGATCTGCTGGGCCAAAGTGGTGACAGTTTGTGACAACCCCCGGTGTGCTGGAGCCACAATGGATGGCAGGGGAACTGGCAGGCCAGCTAGGTGCAGCCTTAAGGATGTCCATTTACATATGAGATGTATTGTTTGGCACTTCATCATAGAGATCAGGCTAGTAACTGTTTCCAGTGACTGTTCTCCTCTTTGCCTTCCCCAGCTGAGGTGCAAATAACTTCTATTATGGGCAAAAAACCTCACATTACAAAAAAGGCTCCTGATAGATACTGAGCCTTATTTCCCATTCTGCACTGGGCAGTTAGTTTTACAGGCAAAAGTCATGTCAGATAAGTTCTCTGCAGTCTTTAATGAGATGAATTTTGATTCACTTGAGTACAGCAGCTGAAAACTCTAATACCATTTTAAAATATATTGATGAAAGGCAGTTCTTAAAACATAGATGTACTGTGCTGTAAATCTTTTATTGAGTGATATTGTGCTGTCACCACATAAAATCAGAACAGTACATTCAGTTGGTTTGTTCATAGCACATAACATGTTCATAGCACGTAACAACTGGGTAGTTCTTATGGGTCAAACATTGGTTTAAATGCAGAGCTATCAGGGTGGTTAGTTGAATATTATCAGTAATCTGGAAGAAACTATACTCTTACATACTTCAGAAATTATCTGTAGGTTCATAGGATTCCCCAAATTGTTTTCAAATCAGCATTTGCACCTACATAGAACTTGTTAATACTTGCTGGTATTTTAATTTTATAGAAGCAGACAGTGTGACAAAATATTTGGTATGCAGAAGCCAAGAAATACAGCCTTGCTGCATTCTGCCTCTGGGAGCAGAGCTTCTGTTTGAGGGACTCCATCAATGATGCATAAGGGAACATTTCAGTTTGGTTCAATACATGTGCCTTGACCAACTCTGCTGTCTTTGGTTTCAGAACATGCGCATAAGATGTCTGAGTGGAGACACGTACTACAGCAAAGCAGGCAAGAAATTTGCAGGCCAGGTTCTGGAGAAGTTTATCCTGATTGATTGTGACCAAGTTCTTGCTGGTACATACAGGTAATTAAGTATAGCGACTACTGTGACAAAGACTGGTGACACTGAGATGTTGATTACCAAAATACTGAATAATGCAACTTTTATTTTCTCCATGGTAATGGTACACTGGTTTTCCTCTTCATTTTCCCTTATAAATGTAAGGTTTCGTTTTGATGCTTTACCTTCTTCTACTCCATCCTTACTTATATCTTACTTACATCTTACATCTTCTACTCTTACCTTGCAGTTTAGCTTTCATATAACATTAACTGCTTGTCTGCCAGCACTGACATCTCTCTCTGTGAGTATTGCTTCATTCCTTAAAGATGTAAAATATGCTCTGCCAGGTCAGATGATGCTCCACCAAGCCTAGATTCTGTCTCCTGCTGATGCTGTTTAGGAAGAGCAGCCCAAACTGCTATGTGTGGTCCATCCCTCTTGTCCTCCCACAGCACATGTAACCATTGCATACATCTCTACTTCCTTCAGTACCTCTTCTGTTCCTCTTGTCTGTGAATTTGTCCTAACTCGTTGTCTGTTCTAAACTAATCTCCTACTAATTTAATGAAGTGCCCTAGTTCTAGAGCCGCAGATTGGTTAAACAGCTGTCCTACATTCAGCTAAGTCATCACTTTCAAAATTTTCCAAGCCTCCATCTTACCCACTCTCATTGTCTTTTTCTTACCTAAAGTGAAGACCTCGGCCTTTTCGGTTCCTCCTCAGCAGCTGCATCCCTCGGCCTTTTAAATTGCCTTTCTCTGCAGCCTCTCTAAGCTCACTATGTCCTTCTTGAGATGCAGAGACCAGAGCTGCATGCAGCCCCCAGGATACAGCTGCACCAGGGCATTACAGAGCATCAAAATAGTGCTCTCTGCTTTGATAGTATCACCCTTGCTGACAGTGGACGACACCCATTGCATTTTTTAGCTACTATTGCACATTGAGGTGATGATTTCAGAGAATTGCTGATGATGATTCTGAGTTCCTTCCTTAGCTGAACCTTCCAAGTTCAGCATCTGTCCTGGTTTTGGCTGGGATAGAGTTAATTTCCTTCCTAGTAGCTGGTGTAGTGCTGTGTTTTGGCTTTAGTCTGAGAATGATGCTGGTAACACACCAGTGTTTTAATTGTTGCTCAGTAGCACACACCCTGATCAAGGACTTTTCAGTCTCGTGCTCTACCAGTGAGGAGTGGCACAAGAAGCCGGAAGGGAGCAGAGACAGGACACCTCACCCAAACTAGCTAAAGGGGTATTCCATACTATAGAACATTACTGCTGCTGCTGCTACTACTACTGCTACTACTACTACTACTACTATTATTATTATTATTATTATTATTAATTTATTTATTTCAATTCTTAAACTGTTCTTAACTCACAAGTTTTAGCTTTATTTTCCAATTCTCTTCCCCATCCCATCACGGGGGAAGGTGAGTGGAGGGAGGAAGTGAGCAGCTGCATGGTACTTAGTTTCTGGCTGGGGTTAAACCATGACAGCATCACACATTTTTCCCTATGGGTACACCACATTTTCCTACACTGAAGTTCAGTTGCCACATATTTGTCCACTTGCTCAGTTCTGTGAGGATTTCCTCTGCTGCACAGTGAGGTGCCGAATGACCTAAAGGAATTGAGATCTTCTGCAAACCCACTCCCCTCCATGCCTGGGCTCACTGACAGAATCAAAACCAGTCCCAGCACCAGTCTCTGGCTCCTCACTGCTGACTGTTACCCATGCTGAAAAATTACTATAAAGCCCTATGTACCCTTTGCATGCTGTGCTTTCACCAGCTCTCGGTCTGTAACATGACCTTTCTTCCATGTCCATGGCAATTTAGTTTCTTAAAACGCTGTGGTGTAGAACCTTGTCAAAGGCGGTTTGAACACCCCAAATCATGTATTTGGCTGATCCGTTTATCCATGTGCTCACTGGCTCTCTCTCCAAACTCCAGCAGGTCTGAGGCAGGGCTTGCCTTTACAGTAGCTCTGTTGACCTTTTCCAGAGGCTGTGCTGCTCCATGCCATCAGTAACCTTGTTCTCACAGCACTCTGTCATGGCCCAGGGTGGAGGTCAGCCTTCCCCAGTCAGCCCTTTTTGATGAATTGCTGCATTTTTACACAATTACCTTTCTTGAAATTGAATATCCACAAGCTGCATTTATTTAGATTGCTCTCTCTCACTAGAATGTTAAAATTGTGTTGTAATCATTATTACAAATGGGCTCTTCCACTTATACATCTGGAACAGAGTCTAATGCATCATTCCAGACCACATCCTGAATAACATCTTTTCTTGTGGTTCAAACAATTTAGGGTAGTTAATTCTGGCAAGTAATGATTTTATTGCTTCCAAAAAGTTTTTCTCCACAGCTCATCCCAGTGAAGCATTAACCTAGTATGCGTCTGAGTGGATGAAATCTCCCTCACTTTTCAGTCTGTAATCTCAGCGTTGTCTGACCAGCACCACTGATCAGAGGGTGGGGAGTACTGTTCTTGTACTATATTTGTATTAGTAGACTCTGAGTTTTCCACCTACAGATCTTCCCCACAGCATTTTCACACTGGTACATACCATGTTATCCTTCACAAACAGTGCAGCTCCCCAGGAGACAGCTCTGATATTTCTGGGAATTTGGTACCCTGGCAATACTTTATTCTCCTTCTACCAGGTCTCCTTGAACACTGTGCTCCCTCTCTCCCTATCTGTTTTCCATCTCCCAGCCAGCACATGCTGGACCCTTGATCTGCCAAAGTCTTCATCAGTGTTATAGCTCTAGCCTGCACCTTCTCCTCTGCTTCTGACTGCATCTCCAAGTGTGAAGTTTTTCACCTTATCAAACGCTGGCAATGAAAAATGGAAGTACCAAGTTGAAACTGGGTGTGTAGAGTCTCTATATAAGCAGTGTGGAGAGCAGTGAAGTGAATTACTGCCTGGAAACATCTGTCCATTTCCAATGACTGCAGGGGGGTGGGGATTAGATAACTGAGACCACCCATTTTTGAATGGCTAAAACGGAACTTGTGACAGCTGGATTGAAGCCTATTCAGTAATTTCTCATGCAGGAGAACTTCCAAACCTTTAAGCATAATGTCTATCTTTTGTGAGACAAATTGACCACAACTGCATGAAGTGGTAAAGATATCCCCACCCACTACACTGCAGCACTGTAGTGTAATAGTGACTTCTGCCTCTTCCTCTGTTCCTGTTCTGGCAGGTTCTGGTCTGCTTCTGCCCTTTAGACTCATGCTAAACATTCGAGTGACCTTTTTTGAACTGCCCATGGGAACCCTGACCTCTTTTCTAAATGTTAATATCTGAGAACTCATCAATATATGGAGACCATCAGGGGTTTTGCCCCCGTTTGAATTTACTGACATTGATTTTTGTCTATTATCTGTCATTTACCCTCCCCATACCATAAGATCCTCTTGCAGCTTCTGATTATCCGGTTTTCTTTTGACCACCCTTGATAATTTTGTCAAGAGCTCTGACATGGACTGTTTCTACCACTTTCCAGGATGTTTCTGAATATGCTGAACAGCAGCAACCCCAGCACAAAACTTGCAGGATTCCAGTGGGTAAATTAAAACTATTTCCAGCATTTGTATCCCATTTTTAGTCAACTGTTACTCCTCACAAAGGCATTCCTTTGTACTCCAGGATCACTTAATTTTTTCTAAGAGTCCTTGCTGAATGGCTGTGTCAAAGTCTCTTTAAAAACTCAAGCATCCAACATCAGGCAGATCACATGAATCTGTGTGCTTGCTGCCTCCTTCAGAGAACTGCGAGAGGCTTTTGAGGCATGGCTTCCTTCCACGAAAACATGCTGAGTCTTCAGCAGTATGATTATAGTTATTTAATGCATCTAATCATTTTCCTCTCCATTTGCTTCTACCAGTTTGTTCAGTATGGAAATACGCCTGGCTGGTTTGTAGTTTTCCAGGAGCTCTTTAAAAGGTTCACATTTACTACTTTCCATTCCTCTGGTACTATGTTCAATTTTAAATTATAGGTTATTCCCTGGTTAATAATTGGAAAATTGCTGACTTCCAGTTTTTGAGGGCTGTTTACTTTAATATTTCCCTTTAATGCAGCTTTTAACTACGGTGACTTTTTGGATGTTTTAAAATAATTTTATTTTGATAGGTACATTTTCTCAGAGCCTCTAATATAGCATCTTCAAACAACCTTCATGCTGCCTCAGGCATTTAACCTTTTTGGTTACTCTTTGAAATCTCCTTTTAATAGTATTCCTCACTTTCTCTTTTAAGTATTAATGTTGTGGATTATTTCAGTCCTGAAAGAATATTGGATATGGGTACGTCATGGTTATTTTTTTGCCAAGTGGCCTTTCCCTTCTGAACTTGTGATGTTATTTCGCCTTTTGCTGGTTTTCTGGTTAGTTTCTTCAAAAAGCAGTCATTTATAGTGTCTAAACTGCAGTTTCTTCAGCTCTTCTAGTAATGGCCCCTATTCAACATGGCTATAACTGAATGTCCCTTCAGTCCTCTGCTTTCTGCCTTAGCCACTTAGCACTTCCTTAGAATGGCATAGTTACCATCAGCACTCTGCTCAGAAAGATCACAGCCCTAATGCTATGCTTTTCCTATTTGGGAGTGGAATTTTAATCCAAGAGGAATATGTTTCATTTGTTTTGATATATATGTTGATATAATTGTGCCATTGCCCCAGCAACATATCCTCCATTTGTCCTTTCTGTATAGTTTCTGCCCTTGCAGTTACACTGTTCCTTGATTTCCTTCTACCCAGTAAGTTTCTGAGATGCCTCCTGTGTCAGAGTCGTCTTTCAGTTCAGGTATTTCACATCTGCCTGTTTCTTTAGCTCATAAATTTTGAGTTGCCTTAGAGGAGATGAAATTTCTCAGCTCTAAATGTAAGATAGTCAAAGTATGGGTGTGTGTCCTGCACTGACAGAGGGAAGGAGCTCATTGTTTGCTGTATTGTACTGAAAGAAACTCAATATTTGGGGTTGAAGCCGACACGGTTCTGAAACTGAGAAATGAGAGGAGAAAGTTGAGGGTTATAAAAGCTCTGCACCCAGCTTCAGTACAGAGGAAGAAAAACTAAATACATAAATGTTTGGCAATGGACAGGTAAAGCAGCATGGGTTTGAAGCTGGAGGAGGCTTGGAATTTCTTTAGATGAGAAGTGCTCATACTCTCAAGTGTCCATGTCCCAAGCAAGAAGAAAGAGTTTTTAAGAGTGAGTTCCAGATCTAACTCAAGTGGTCACCTCAAGAAAGAAATTATAACTAAGCAGAAAGTGAGTGCATAAGGAATGGAAAGCCTAAGTGTATCAGCAAGGAAACCCCAGGCAGGTGTGTGTAGCAATAAAGTGGGCATTGCCAGGAAAAAAGTTACACATAATCTTTAGAGTGCACCAAAGCAAAGAGGAGGAAGTCCTCAGGTGGATAGATGAAAAGTGAATCCAGAAGAAAGAGAGAAGGCATCCAGCTGTAAGGGTGAATAAGAAGTAGGAGATAATTAGATGGGATACCCAAATTAACTGAATATATTGCACTGTTTCTAATCAAAATGAGGAGTGGAAATGATTTCAAGTGCTATGGAAGCAAGCTTAAGCTTGTAAGTAAGCTCTTTAGAGAGCTTACTATAATAAAAGTCAGATTATTGTATTTTTATTCATGAAAAAGGCACTTGAAACTAAAGGTCTAGTAATGAGTGTTATGTATGATCTACATTTAGCAGTGAACAAAAATGATGCACAGAAGTTTGTATTGGCATACAGAAAGAATACCTTTGACAGCCGAAGTGAGAGAACAGCAATGAAAGTGAGCAAGAAAAACTACTGAAAGAATTAAAACCCTTTCTGCTGCAAAGGTTGGAAATAGCTGCAGCAGAGAGGCTGGGTGTGAAGAACTGGAGTCACCTGTACAGCACAGCATAGAAAGGCCACTGCAACCCTGGACCCTACTGTGGCTTTACAGAGGGCTCTGCAGAAGAACTAATCCTGCTGTTGAAGCCACTGCTGAGCCTGGTCTCCAACCGGGATACAGCAGCGTGCTCCTGCTATCGGTGCTAGACCCCAGGCAGAGCCCTGGGGCAGGGGTGCTGCGGCAGGACGGGCAGGGGGAGGTGATGTTGCACCTCCATCTCCTGGCCAAAGGCTGAGCTGCACGAGTTCCTCAGGGTTCCTGCTCCAGGAGTGGCTTGGAAGCAAGGCAGGAGCTTTGGCATAGGGATAGGGTTCCTATCCTTCAGCCATCCTTCCACAGACTCCTGTAATTTGTGCACCAGGGTGATTCAGAACTGGGTATGGGATCTCCTGTGTGCAGCAGTTTGTTATGGGAAAAGTACCACTTTTAGAAACTCACATGAACTTGTAGCATCCACAGTGGCCTGCAGCAAGGAGCTCCACAGCTTGCCTGTGTGTTGCGTTGTGCAGCGAAGTACCTCTTCTTGTCTGTATTGAATCTGTAACCTGTTAAATTCATTCAATGCTTCACTTTTATACGAGGAGAGGTAAAGAATGAACATTCCCTGGTATTTCCACCTTGCCATTCATGGAGGAAAAGACCTTTATCAGTTTGTAATGATGGGAATAGCCACAGCTGGCAAGGTCACATCGTCCTGTCACAGGTACCTGCACTATGGCAAGGAGGAGGGCTGTGCCAGTGAGGAGATTTGGATGACTGCTTCCAGGTCCTGCTGTGGCAGTGGGCAGGCCCCTTTTGGATGAGCATGGGAAACTGGAGCACAGTAATGCCTGGGCTGGGGAAGGAACCATAGGATAATCAGGGACAGTGACAGTCTGAAAGCCAGGGGAGTGTATTGCTGAATCTGAGGGTTCTCTCCTTACAGGGGAAGGGACTATTCGTACGGATGAGAGGATGTGGCTGGGCGTATTTGTCTCACGCGTTTCTGTAGGGAGGCAGTACTTGGGGCAGACGGTGCTGGGAGAAGACAGAAGATGGAAGTTACTTTGTCCAAGGAGTAAGGGGAAACCTGAGCAAGACCTGTTGTTTACCTCCTGCTAAGGTGAGGCCAGAGGCCTTGATGGGTAGCTGTTGTGATGTTCCTGCTGGACCATCTGTGTCTGAGACATGAGACCTCCTCTCCAGAACGAGGAGAACAAACATGACCCCTTGCACAGCTCCATTTCCAGGTTTGCTGGCAGCAGTGGTGCCCGGCTGGGTGAAGAGGGGTGGCTGGCATTATCTAACCAGGGTCCTTTCACAGTCCACAGCAGTGTGAGGGTTGCGCATCTGCCCCTCCAGAGGAGAGGTGCTCAGCCCCTGAGTACATCCGTGGGTTTGAGGAGTTCAAGAGAACACAAGTGTGTGTGTGAGTGGATAGGTGCTGACAAGGGATACATCTAAGCACTGTGAATTGCAGGTGCAGCATGCTTGTGTAGAAGGGTAATAGCTGTAAGCAATGTGGACAGGAACAACCAGTGCTCCTGGAAGCCAGGCAGTGCCCTGGGATAGGCGCCTTTGACAGTGTGAGTACAGGCTGCATGCAATCTCCCCTGTCTGGGCTCTTGGATTTCTTCAAAGAACTCTCACAGCTTGGAGAGAGATAACTTTCCTTTGCAAAAGTCACCTTTCCTATCTTACCATATTTACCTATATAGCCATAAATTGTGTTCTTTAGAAGAGTATCTACTAATTTGTGCTGTGCAGTTATGAGACTTAATGGTCTGGAACATTAAAACAATTATAGCACTTTAGCAACCTTCCACACTTCTGATAACCAATGCACTTTCAAGTGACAGCAGCACATGCTGGTTAGTAGCTGGGCTATTTCATCTTTGCATTCCTTTGGTGCTCTTGGGTTAATGTTAGTTACCTGGTCCTGCCAATTTGTTACTGTCTGCTTTGTTGATGTTTTCTAATCTCTTCTACAGAGATTTCAACATGAGACTGATCCTCCCTTAAGTTCTGTATAAAAGTGGGTTCAGAGCAGGGATAATCCCAAGCTCCTGTACAATAAACACTGGCGTAGAGGAATTGTTTGAGTGCTCCTATTACACATGTGCTAGCCCCACAAAGAACTGAGCATTATTTATTATGCCTTTTGCAATGTGTCACCCAACCTTTTTGAAAGATGGCCTTTCTGGTCTTAATAGCTCTTCTTCTGTCACTTAGCCATCCCAGCTATTTTCTATTTGGTTTTCTGTCATGTCTCTCTGTGAAGGTGTATTCATTTGCTTTGAGGCTCCAGTATGGTACCTCTGGACACTCTTCATGCCATCTGCAAAGGTTCTTCACTCTTTTACTACTTCATTCTTACTTAATTTACCTGGTTTGATATTAAGCAGAAGAGTATTGAGCTTTTCATTTTATGTTGCTCTTTGGGGGGTGTGTATGCTGAGTGTAAGTATACTGCGTTCTTCATAACAACATTATGAACTGTAGCACCTGCATACTATTTAGGAGCAAGCCAAGAGCTGGTTGTCCTACTAAAAGTTACCAAATAGCTGTCTTGTGAAGTAAACATTGATAAGGTCCCAAAACATAATGCCAGTATCTTGTCCTGAAATGACATTTACTTGAGAATGATGTAACCTCCATTACAATTGCTCTCCTGTAGTTTCTGTGATTTCACCCTGCTCTTGTCAAAGTCTGTATCTTGCTTTGGCAGCTGATAATGCAGCCCTACACTGGTACTTTCCTCTGTGAAGGTTCTGTTTTATTTAACACAATTAGTCTGCTAGTCTGGTTTAACTATAGCAAGAATAAAAGAAGCAGCTGGTGACCGGGGTGACCAGGAGCCTGGGGAGCCTACTCTGTAAGAGGAGCTTCCCTATTTGATCTAGGAAAATGAAGATTGGGAGGAGAAATGTGGTTATTATCTGTAGATACGGTGGGGTTGTTTAATTAAGTTACAGTTTTGGCACAAACAACAGGTAGGGTTAAACAGATAAAATATGCAGAGTGGCAATTAGTGAAAGTTCTTCCCCAGCTGGAACAAAACCCAATTTGTCTTAAGGTGGAATATAATAAGCTCCCAGAAAAGACCCCAAGGCATTGTACTGCAAGAGCAGGGACTGGACTTGCTGAGCAAGGGACTTGTGAACTTCTAACACCATGCACCTCTGAACTGGGTGCCATGGAAAAGGTGGAGTCTAGGGAATCTCACAGCAATATGTATGGAAAACATCATCAGCTTTCCTGTCCTGAGGTATTCCTGTGGGGCTCGAGAGACCTCTGCTCCCCTAAATCTCCATTCCTCACCCTCCTGCCTGCATAAGTGGCTCCTTCAACTCCATCACATGTTGCAGATGTTAAGGACATGAGAATATCGCTCCTGCCAAGGTAAGGGTGGAGAGCAGGAGACCAGGCATGCCTTGGTATCCACCTAACAGTCTCCTTGTCCTCTGTGGAAGGAATGGGCGCAGTGCAGTGTGCTAGCCAGATGCTGAGCTAGAAAGTCTGCAATACAGATCGGGCAGAAAGAGCCCTTAAGTGCCCTGTGCTTCGTACCTCATTTTCCCACCACCACGCTATCCTCCAGACAGTTGGAGCTTTCGTTGGCACAGCCTGCTTGGTACAGGCAGCACCCCCTGCCCACAGTTACGTGGTACTGAGTGGGGAATGGGAAACTGTGGATCCTTGCTTATGGGCAGAGAGAGCTGGCAAGAGGGAGCTGGAGAAGAAAAGGCTCAAAATGTGCTGCTCTGCTTTTTAGGCAGGGACCCGTTACTGCTCTGCATCTTTCATGAGGCTAAGGAAAACCAGCTGCTATTTCTTGATTGCTGTTAATGTTTTTATACAGTTCATGACATCAGTGAGCTGAAATTAAATGACCATTTTAGGGTTGTTCTTCAATAATTATGTAATGAGTACATTAATTTATACAAATAATCTCAGACTTGCACACTTCAGGGAACGTTTTAATGATAAAAATGGGGTAGCAATACATCACTCCAGTGTTAAAATCAGTGCTAGGTATCTTGACACTCTCTGAACTTAAGATTACACGTGTTTTTCTTTATTCACAGTTTCACCTGGCTTTGCAGTCAAGTCCACACTGGCCTGGTGACCCACTTCCGGGGTCAGATTGTTGCAGAGTTTGAGAAGGAATTCCGGTACTTGTATGCAGAGTCCAGAGCAGTGACCAGCTTCTGTGTGCCAGATCCCGAAACGTGCCCCTCTTCTCAGAACACCTCAAAAGTTGTGAGCTCCCTTTTAAAACCCCCACAGGTGAATGATGTTGAAGCCACAAGCCCCTCCAGCAGCCTTTCCAATGTAAGCATCAGAAGCATAAAAGTGTCTCCCTTTCTGAAAAACTCCAACTGCAATGTGCAGCTGGAAAAGCAAGATTCGAGCTCAGATTGTGGTAATAACAGGGGGAAGGAAGATGCATTTCTGAAGCCCACTTGCCCTAAGCAGCAGGGAGAACCACCAGATTCACCAAACAGTCCTCCAAATAAATCCACCCCTGCTTTGTATCACAAATCAAATCTCATGACAGCAAGGACATTCCTGCCACCAGAGCTTTCCCCTGCCCTGAGCTCCAATAAACCTTGTTATCAAGGGGACAGTACAGCTAACAGCAGCCACTGTTTCCCACCAACACAGGAGCAGTCCCTCCAGTCCCTTTCAGAGGGTGCCAGTAGCAATGGGACAAGCACGAAGCAGAAAGGGCCTGCTGCTGCCCCCGAGGAACCAACAGCAGAGAACGACAATACATTTTATGGGCTGGAAAGAAGACAGAGTCCTGGACAAGGAAATTTGGACCTGCTCTCCTCATACAACCAGCCAAAACGAGATAAAAAGCCAGGAGTTCCTTGCTATGATAAACTCACTGAGGACATGCTGATGGAAAAGAACAGTGCATATGGGGCCGAGAAAAGAATGACTCTTGGGCACAGTAAGCTGGATCTGATCACCAAGTACAATAAGTTAAAATCAAAACACATACACAGTCGGTTCGAACTCTGACCTGGGTCTTGAGGTGTCCTTTGGTCTTATTTTCAAGTGGTTGCTTTTCCCCACCAATCATCATGTCTGGAGCTTGAAATCAAAATATGGGTGGCAAACTAGTCTTGTTCCTATTCAAAGGGGTCTGTGGTGGTTTTGATTATATGCAGATGACTGATTTAGGTGAGATTAGCAAGTACAGTTCAAATTTTCAATTACAAGATCATGGCAGGAGAGAGAAAATGGCACAAACACAATCCACACTTCTGTGTTCTTTTTACTCATTTCAAAAAGAACTATTTCACCCAAAACTTGCCATGGCTGGAAATGGTTTGGCCACTGTGGTCTTCAGGGTGAACCCAGGTTCTCTTTGTACAGAGCAATTTCTCTTCCTGTATCCCTGTACTGCAAATGAGATGGCCAAAGGCAGGGGAACATTACAAATAAAGGAGCTGTTCTGCTGGAAAGAGCTGTGTTGGGTCCCTTAAGGGAGTTGATCACCCCAAGCATGTCCAGCACACTCTGTGCTGAGCCGTGCTGGGAGGATGGAGGTGGCGTGTCTGGGCACATGGCTGGCATCTGCATGTGGTTGACATTGGCACGTAAGTGCTATCTGCACACGGGTGGTGTCTGCACATGGATGGTGTCTGCTCTTGGTCATTTGTGAGCACAGGAAGCAGCTGACACAGGTTGTGCCTGGACACGGGTGGCCCTTAGACTCATAGGATCATGGAATCAACTTGGAATCAGCCTTTAAGCTCATCCAGTCCAACCGTTCCCCAGCACTGCCAAGGCCACCACTAACCCATGGTACTGAGGGCCTCATCTGCATGGTGTGTGAACACTTGCAAGGACAGTGACTCCAGCCCTGCCCTGGGCAGCCTGTTCCAATGCCTGAGCACCCTTTGGTGTTCCTCAGCTCCATCTAAACCTGCCCTGCTGCAGCTTGAGGCCGTTTCCTCTTGCCCCATCCCTTGTTCCCTGGGAGCAGAGCCCAGCCCCTCCTGGCTCCATCCTCCTGTCAGGCAGTTGCAGGGAGCGAATCAGTGCTGAGGCACTTGGGTGTCACCTGCACGTGGGTGGCAGAGCTGCAAGTGGGTGCTGTTGTGCACTGATGGTGTCAGCACAAAGGTGGTGCCTGGGCACAGGTCACGCGGGCACATGGATAGTGTGCACACGTGGGTGGTACCTGGACACGGCTGTCTCTGCACACAGGGGCTGGTGGCTCACAGTGGAGTGTCACAGAACCATTAGGGCTGGAAGGGCCCTCTGGAGATCAGGTCCAACCCACTGCCAAGGCAGGGGCACTGAGAGCAGGTCACACAGAGCAAACAGGCCCAGCTCCTGCAGTCCCTTCTCATCAGGGAGATGCTCCAGACCCCTGAGCATCCCTGTGGCCTCCACTGCCCTGTGCCTGTGGCGGCACCGCCAGGCACTCCGCAGCCCGCTGGGACCCGCCATGGCCCGCGGGGACAAGGCGCGGTGGCTCGGACCCGGGGATGACGCCGGGACAGACCCCCTCGCATCTGGGGCCGGCAGAGGGCACTGCGCGCTCCACTCGCGGCCGGGGCCGCTCTGCCCCACGCCTTCCGCCCGCCGCCGGCGGAAGCGGAAGTAGGGGCGCCGCGTGCGTGCGGCCCAGGGTGAGGCTCCTGTTCCGTTCCCCCTCCGCTCCCGCTCCCGTTCCTGATCCCGCTCCCGCCATGGCTGTCCGCGCCAGCTTCGAGAACAACAACGAGCTGGGTTGTTTCGCCAAGCTGACCAACGCGTACTGCCTCGTGGCCATCGGCGGCTCCGAGAACTTCTACAGGTGAGGGAGCGGCGCGGCGCGCCCGGCCCGGCTCCGCGCCCCCGCTGACGGCGCTTTCTCGTTGCAGCGTGTTCGAGGGGGAGCTGTTCGGGACCATCCCGGTGGTGCACGCCTCCATCGCCGGCTGCCGCATCATCGGCAGGATGTGTGTGGGTACGTGACGGGGCGGCCCTCGGCGCCAGAGGGGAGCGCTGGAATCGGGAGGACGAGCCCGTGCGGGGCGGTGCTGCGGGGAGGGGGGGGCTGCAGCGGGCCGCGCCCGTCAGACCTGGAGGTTCTTATTCACAAGTCGGAAGCTGTGGCTGCCCCATCCCTGGCAGTGCTCAGGGGCAGCTTGCACAGGGCTTGGAGCAAGCTGCGCTAGTGGAAGGTGTCCCCGCCCATGGCAGGGGTTGGAGCTGGGTGAGCTTTAAGGTCCCTTCCAGTCCAGGCCAGTTTGGGATTCTGTCTTCATGAGTGGAAAGGGGTGAAAATGGAAAAAAGAACTCCCGGTGACAAGGGACTTCGGGGGGCGTTTCACCTTTGGGGCGTTGAAGATGGGTGAAAACTACGTGTAAGCTTTGCAGTTCTGTTTCTCTCAAGGTTAATGCTGCAGTGCCAGTGCTGGGGGGGGAGACCCTGGGGACCGGGGTGGGGGCATTAACAGAAGGAAAAGTTGGAAAGAAGCCTTTTGTCTGTCTCTGGTGAGGAGGACCCCATTCAGTCAGACAAGCTTCCTTCTTGAGTTTTGTTTCTGTGAAAAGAATGTTTGTCCATCCCATCTTGCTGCTCTGCAACAGAGAAGGAATGCAGACAAGCAGCAGCCGTACATTTTGGGGGGCAGCTGGCATCTATAGGGGAAATTCACGTTAAAGTGTTTCCTTGAGAACCTCAGGCTTCCTTTACTTCTGTTGAAAAAGAGGAGTGATTAAAGGTGCTGTTCACACGTTTGTATGAGCTAAGTCTATGCTTCATCCTGGTTTGCTCTTACCAGTGATGCTGTTCTTTCTAAAGGGAAGTGTTATTTCTCTTGGGCTGAATTCTGGGCTTGGGAGGAGTGAATGGAGCAAGGGCAGTTCAAGCCATGGTGTGACTGCCAGGAAAGCAGGACCCTGGGGAACATTCTTTTTTTCTTCTTTTTTTCCCTTTCTTTTCTTTTTTTTTTTGGTGTCATTGTAGGAAACAGACATGGACTCTTGGTTCCAAGCAGCACAACAGACCAAGAGCTCCAGCACATCCGCAATAGCCTACCAGATTCTGTACGAATCCAACGAGTGGAGGAGCGTCTCTCAGCACTGGGCAATGTCACTACCTGCAATGACTATGTTGCTCTTGTTCACCCAGATCTTGACAGGGTAAATGGCTCTGTAATGCTTTTAAATTCATAGTGGGTACATGTGAAATGATTTCCAAGTTGCAGTTTGGGTTTGGAGCTGTTGAGGATTGCTGTGTGTAGCATGGGGACCAGAAGAACTGTGCTCACAGCTGAGCTGCTGTCATGGAGTGAGCTGCATTGTGTTTTCTTTCTTCTCAACAGAGAAGTCTCTAAGTTGGACTTTGGACTTCTGACTTGCTTTCAGTTGCTTCTTATATTTATCTTTATTGGAGCACTGTGTGCAGTGCTAGTTTCCTCAACGTAAGAAGGACATGGAGCTGTTGGAGAAAATCCAGAGGAGGCCACAAGAATAATCAGGGGCTGGAGCACCTCCCATATGAAGACAGGCTGAGAACATTGGGAGTGTTCAGCCTGGAGAAGAGAAGATGCTTGGAGACTTCAGAGCAGCTTCTGGTGTCTGAAGGGGCTAAAAGAATGCTGGAGAGGGACTCTTCATCATGGACTCTATTGACAGGACAAGGGGTGATGGGTTCAAACTGGAAGAGGGGAAGTTCAGGTTAGATATAAGGAAGAAGTTCTTTACTCTGAGGGTGGTGAGGCAGTGGCACAGGGTGCCCAAAGAAGTGATAAATGCTCCATCCCTGTCAGTGTTCCAGGTTGCAGCAACCTGGTCTACTGGGAGGTGTCCCTGCCTGTGGCAGGGGATTGTAAGTGAATGAGCTTCAAGTCTTTTCCAGCCCAAACCATTCTGTAATGATTTGTGGATGTGGACCCTGCCCCAGGCATAGTGTGTGCCGTCTTGTTCTTCATGCTGCAGGGAATGCACTTTGTAGAAGGGAAGAAGCAGAATGTGGAAGCATGTTGTCAGGTGCAGTTCACTTTGTGTATGTGAAATAGAATGGACAAAAGAGATTGTTCATGTGTGTGATGAAGAGAGCATGAAGAAGAGTTCAGTCAGGACTATAGCAGTAGTAGTTACAAGCTACTGCTGAGCTTGCTGAAATTGGTAATGATTGAAAGAGGCTGTGGATGTGGTAGTGTGCAGGTTCACAGAGGGGTGGAAGGAAAATGGAAGCTTCTTGTATGAAAGTTTAAGGACAGAGGAGACAAAGATGCTGCTACTTTATGTTTGAGAACTGATGTTTTCATAGCATTAGAGAGAATGGTATTGTGTTGCTGCAGGTAGTGCAGGTCCTTATGGTCCTTTCAGTTTGTACTAAAGAAATGGGACTTGGTGTTCAGATTGCAAAGTTAAAAAAAAGAAGGAGGAGGTGGTGGGAAAGTAATGGTCTTTGCAGTGTATTATGTTTTAACTAAGTGTAAAAAGTAAGGGAAGATAGCCAGAGAGGGATGGATCAAAATAATTCCCAGTGAAATACTGGAGTGGAAGGAAGTTCTCACACAGAAGGATAAGAGAACTTTGTCCCAGTGGTTGGGGAGGCTGAGTGTTTTGTAATGATTGGATTGGAAGGGGTTGTGGAAGCATCGGCAGGACCCCAGCTGTGGTTGTGGGAATAGCGTGACTTCAAATTCTACAATACCATTTTGCTGAAGACTTTATCCTGTCTTTCTGTTTGCAGGAGACAGAGGAGATCTTGGCAGATGTACTGAAGGTAGAGGTTTTCAGACAAACAGTAGCAGATCAGGTGCTGGTAGGAAGTTACTGTGTTTTTAGTAACCAAGGAGGAATTGTGCACCCCAGAACTTCAATTGATGATCAGGATGAGCTGTCTTCATTGCTCCAGGTCCCACTCGTGGTAAGACATTTTGGGTTTGTGTTTTCTCTTGCCATTACCTTCCAACCCAGTTCTCAGTTTTAATGTTTCTACATCTCATGGGCTCCCAGCTGCTGTTTGTCTGCAGAGCTGTTCCAGGTGGGAGATGAGGAGGGACAACTTAAACAGAGCAAGTCTTCAGA